TGTATGAAAGTTGACAGTTCATTTCGTCATAACGAAGTTTCGTCACGATTTGAAATATGTAAAAATTGACGTCAGTTTTATTCCCTAATTCCCAACGACAATCAACTGGGTTCTTGTTGAATAATGAATGCAGATCGGTGATAGTTTATTACTGGAGAGTTCATTCGAAAATTCTCTAGGGAACGATCAGCAGAAGAGTCCAAACTTTTAGGATCATCAGGCGACCTTATTGATATGATGCATTGTGCAAGTTTGACGCAAAATTATCGTCAATGATGAAGTGAAAGATGTTAATTACCTAAGGCTAAAAGATTGATCTTTCTTGTTTTATTATATTTTGCCATGTAATTTTATTAGCTATAAATGTAGTACCTATTTTCTCTTTAAAATGTTTCATTTAGGCTACTAACTTCTTAACTTAGCTAATATACCTTTATATCCGGTTTTGTAGTTTCAGTTGATAAAATTACGTAATAATTATTCTTAAAAGTATTAAAAGAACCGTTTAATAACGATAAAAATTACGTATACACCTATAATAAATTTTGTCAATGGAGATTGTCAATGGTTGGATCATCAACTCGGGAAAGTTGCAGGATTTTATCAAAAAAAAATGCTAAGAGATAATTTGTCTTACTTTAAATTACAGTAAACTACTAATCGTTGTAATTATTGGAATTTAAACAATTTCACGGAACTGTTATTTAAAATTAAAAATTCCCTTAATCGCGACGAAATTAAATGAGTTGTGCGTGTTTATTATTGATCGACAATGTGTTATTTGAATGTATTTAATGGAATATTGTTCCAAAAATATATTTGACCTTTCATAGAAGTTCGATAGGCAATAATAGAATTATTATCTACAATTCGTGATTTATTGCATTCCAGTACTATTCCAGCATTTTTAGCTAAAAAATTTATATTTTATAACTAATTATTTATAAATTTGCATTTATTTCGAATATTAAAACATTCCTTTCTTACATTTTCATTAATTTAACACGGGTTTGTTATTAAAATATCTGTAAAAAGTAATAAAAAACAAGACATAAAATATAGAATTTTCTTCGTGTTACTATTCTCGAAGTCTAATATCTGTTTTGCTTTTTTTCTTCTTTATACAAAGGCTCTCAAGTATATCTCCAAAGCATTGACTTTGTGTGGTAAGAGTGATAAGAAGTGTGCACAACTTTACAGCTACCACGGTGATATATTGAAAGATATGAAGAATTTGGAAGCATCAGCACAGGTAGCTTTACCTTTTCCTATATTGCTATGACATAAAACTCTGTTTTAAAAATCAATATATATGTATATTATGAATAAAAAAAAACCCTGTAATTTTTTACGTGAGATATTTTTAATTACAGAGTTACTCTACAGCTTTAAACATGGATCCAAATTTATCACACGCTCACATCAATTTGGCAGTTATACAGCATTTACAGGTAATATATTATAAAGATAAAAATAGAGATTATTAATGCATTGACTGATTATTCTATATGTTGAGGTGTAAAAAAATTCTTTCAATACTTTCTTTGCTAATAGGGTAATTACAGCGAAGCGTTATATCATTACCAGAAGGCTTTTAATTTGGAGCCAGATAATAATATCTTATTGGAGAATATGCAGAAATTAAAGAAAAATCTTTTGACATCAACTAAGAGTTGCCAAATGCGATAATAATTATTCAAGTAGATTATTAATTGTACTTTAGGGACCAGTGAAAAGATTCGATATTGTGTGATTAGAAAGAGTTAGAAAAGGGGGGTTTAACTAACCTTTATCTCAGGCTTGGAGAGCATCTGCTCAGTTATATACAAGTGATACACCACTAAATTATGAAGTATCTTTCAGCTAAAGTACTCTATAATAAGCTGTCGATCCTTTAACATATCAAAAGATTTTGAAAACATCTTTAAAAGCTTCTTAATGAGGTGGCATATGTCTAGTTAGAGCACTTAGAAGTGCATTGTATCGTGTATGAGTGTTGTAAAGTATAATTTATGCTATATTATCTCGGCTAATTATGACAATCCTCAGAAAAGTAATTAGTATTTATTAAAAAGGGGGAGAAAAAAAAAGATGTTAATTAATTTCTCATTTGCTTTTATATATTTTTATAATTATTTTGATTTAACAATGAATTTTTATATACATATATATCGTGAAAAGATTTTTCTTAAAAATAAAAGAAAATGAAAGAAAATGGAGCAAATAAAATTTTGTACTGTAAAGTTTTGTAAAATAAAAATAAAAAAAATGAAAATGTTTCGAAACGTGCCTTGTCTGTCCTTTTTTTAAAAGAAAATTGTAAAAAAGAAATCACATAAATATTTTTTTTCTCAAAGAAAAATATTTTAAAAAAAATTGTAAATAAAACAAAATTAACTCAACTAAATTAATTGTATTTTATACTTTTATTAGAAATATATTTTATTAATTTAATAAAATTTTAATTGAAAAATTAAATTCACTTATTTTTAATTATAATGATTTATAAAATATTAAAATATTAATAAAATAATTAAATAAATCANATCAATAACTTGATACAGATACATAAAAGCACACACATCAAAAATGGTTAACTGACTTTTGCGTCAAACTTTATACATAAAATAGCCCCAAAGTTAATTAACTATTGTTGTCTTTTTATTGCAGATATACCTATAAATCGCAAATTGAGTTTATAAAAATGATTACGGTTAACTGACTTTTGGACCACCCTGTATAATTATAAGTTGATATAAAGATACTTATTAAACTTCGTCGATACAAAAGTTTTCGTATAAGCAGCGTAAAACTTCCAAAAATTTAAGCAAAATTGAGAACTTTATTAGATACTAGACATAGGAAAGTATAATAAAAGTTGAGATTATAAGAGGAATATTAAGTCGAAAATAATTTATATGGATAATTATCAAGCTGCATCTATCCCTTTTTATACGATATAACATATCTAATAAAGAGATGAGAGATTATGACAATAAATTTGACTGGTCAACAGCTGCAGGATCAATAGTACACGTTGTGTGGTGCCAGCAATCAATAATACTAATCCCACGTTGGCATAGTTTCCAAAGGATTATCGTATTATTATATTATTTTATATTATCAAAGTATTATTATAAACAATAATTAAAAGCAGTTTTTTGAAAAGTTTAAATGCTTTTTGAATTTATAGATACTTTGAGGATTATTTTCAATGGCGCTACTTAATCAGGATTTATTTTATTCTGATAAGAGCTTAAATGGTGCATAAAAATCGTGAATCATATTTTTCTATTAATAGTTTTTAAAACCCGAATAAAATAGGCATAAATAAAAAGTTTTTTATTTAAAAAAATTCAGAAAAAAATTAGTAATAATAATAAGATTTTTGCTTTCTCCATAAAATATTTTAGTGAAAAAAATCGATATTATAATTCTGATTGAAGCACGCTTTGTGTGTCATAAATACAGTATAATTTGATCCTTTTTTTCTAAAAAAAAAATATGTCTGTTTGTTTGTCTGTAGGTGCGTTTACAACAATTTTACAATTAAAAAATTGTTTATTTTAAAACTTTCTTTAATATTTTATTTTAAAGAATAAATTCAAATGAATAGATGGAAACAATAATTAAATTTACTTTTAAAATATTTCTACAACATAATAAACTTTTTAACGAACGAACTTTATCAGAAATTTTATAATATTATATGCAAATTTTCTAAAATTATCTAAATTAGTTCTTAGCATTTTTCCCCCTTTAAGAAAATTCTTCACAATCTCTATAGCGTGACGGGCGTATATATAATGCATACTAAGAAGAAAGTCGGGTATTGGCTATTATTTACATACCAGACTTATTTATCCTTTTCGAAATAACCTTCCTTACAAAGCGATTTATTTGCAGTCTGTCTTTGTACTCAGAATTTTTTATTACTCAGTACTCACCTTTTTTTTATTATTATTTTCGTCTTAGTTTTGTATATAAACTTTATTCTTAATGTCTATAGTCTTTTATAAATAGCTCCGGGTCGCATCTGGATTACTTCTTATAAAAGATTACATACAATTTCTGTTATATATTATCTTATTTTTGTATATTTGTTCTGCTTCCAGATTTATCATCCCTTATTCTCCCACAACTGTATAGTAAATAGATATATTATGAGCTTATATTTATCCAGGAATATAAATCTAACTAACTATTTACATCACTTTAAATCTATGTAATGTATCTTAATTATTAATATCGTCACAATGCCGGGCTGCAATTTTTAATTATATTTTTAATTTATTTAAAATATAGGCTTTCATTTTAATAGTGTCTTGCCCCTGTACATCATACTTTTCCTATTAACACGATAGACGTGCCGGTCATCTATCTAACTCTGTTTAGGGGAAAATTTTTGAATAGAAATAACGTGACTTCCGGTGCAAACTGGATGTTCATATATAGTTATAAGTCGAATTTCTATATAGTTATAAAGTCGAGACCAGATATAGAAAGCTTAGGGGTAGGAGGCCCTAAGCTTTCCATATCTGGTCTCGACTTTCATTTACTAACACCATTCTCGAGATTAAGGAACGACAGACAGACAGACATAGAACTACAATTTTTTCAATTTACAGTCCAATAATATTAAATGACAAATCGTATTAATAAGTGATGCAAATTATAATCTGGAATATACTTAAAAATATTTGTTAAATTAAATATTTATTACGAGACATATATATATATATATATATATATATACATCAGATTTATTTGTAAAGAAGTATAAAAAATATATAGCATTTTATGAAGCAGACATAAAAAAATATATACAATTTGGCAACATTGTTTTTGCCACGAAATTGTTTCATAAAGTAGGATACAGTTCGTGTTAGTAGTACAGTAGCAACGTTCAAAATGTTAGTTTCTCACGAACTCCGATATCTAGATTCTATTTTATTAGCCCCTTGTGGTAAGGGATTTCCAGCGTGTCCTGATTGTAGCACCCAATAGGGATTCGGAGTATTCTGTTGGCAATCTTCTGAATACGCGGTCGATTCTCAATTGTTGCATTTCGTGCAACTTTCTCTCCATAATGGAAACACTGATCCTTCTGATTCACCAGTGATCAAACTATCCCAGCACATTTTCAAATTACACAACATTTAAATTAAATTCTCTGCTTTGATTCTCTAACATTAATCAATCAATCTCGCCATTAAAATTCAACAATTTCTTCTCTAATTTTTATATATTTATTTAGAAATTAGCTGTATAAAATATAGAACAAGTTCAATTTTTTAAATTATTTTTTTTAAGTTTTAGCAAGAAATAATAAGATTATAAATTAAAATGTTCTTTCATTATAGACAGATTTTAATTTCTAAATTTCTACTATTTTTTTAATTAAAAATATAGAAAATTTAAATTAAAAAAAATTAAATATAATTAGTATATTAATTTATTTATTTATAGAATCTTTTAAATTCAGATAAATATATTTATAAAATTAAAAATTTACGAAGAAAATAAAGTAAATGCGAGTTTAGACGAAATAGGATCGAAGGAAAAAGTTATAAAAAATTATTTTTTTATAAAAAAAACTTTTAAAAAATGACGTGCTGTTTTTATACATAGTTTTTTTATGTTATCGGAATAAATTATATTTTATTTTCATGCGCACATCTCGTTTTATTCAGAAGAAACATGCTTCACTCGGAGCAATCATTTTAATGGCAGTTCTATAACTTTTATAATCAGAAAGCTGCATGTTCGATCAGTTTATACGATACCAAAGTCGGCTTTACGTTGTGCAATCCATCAAAATGCAAATATTCATTCGTGTAAACAGCTATAAACTAGTGAACGGCAGAATATTTACTGATTTTAATGGTAATTTCTATTCTACTAAAGTTTCAATAGAATTTTTAGATTGTTAAGCTTGTACCCATGTTTTACTTTCATCTAATATTCATATACGAAGAGAATTATGTAGATTTTGATATGAAATGGTGTTTTATTTATCAATTAACCTTATACATTAAACTTTACAGCTTATGAAAGCTATTATATGTATTATTCATTTCGATCTTCTCTACTCGAAATAAAATTTAATATATTTTTTAGTTTATTCTCTAAATTAAAAAATAAATATATATATATTAAACTTTATTTTTGTATACTTTCTTAGTTTTTCTAGTGGTTAATAAGAAAATAAGTTTTTCTCAGATGGAATATTTTTATTAGAGACATAGTTTCATTTTGTTCTGTTCCAAACTACTAAGAAATTTCCGGTCCACTTGTGCAGAAAATTTCTGGCCTTTTGCCTCCTTACAGAAAAGATTAAATGTATCTTTCGGATATAATCCCCCCATAAAGTACACGGGGAAAAAAATCTTTCCAGACACTTTATACACTTATAATGTTAAAAAAGTTATATACTATTATAAACTTTTACGAATTAATTCAATAATATTTTATGAAGTAATTAAAATAATAATCTCATCAAATTCTCTATATAACGCTCTCCTAATTAGCGACATTCGTTTAAAGCGTCAATGAATTTTCTATAAATGTAAAACAGAATTTATTTTAAGTCTTATAATTAATTTTAAACTTTTTTTTTAACTAATTAATATTTTTATTCCATTTATTAATATATTCGAGATAATTTGGAATATATATATGTGAATATCCTTTAAAAAATTGAATAAATAAATAATTAATGTTTTCTTTATTATTTTTATAATAT